CCATTTTAATGTTGTTTCTCAGATATTTGACAGTCTCTGGTGGGGCAACTGGTCAAAATAAAATCCTGGGGGTAAAATTTGTGTCTTTTGGAGCCAAAGGCCTATCTACGACTCTGCCTTTTGTCCGACTCGGGTGTCAGCGCCGCAGGCCTAGGTAGATGTATGCCAGGCGCGTCGCAGCGTACCAGTGTTTCGTGAGATATCGCGAAGCCTGTTACGCGAGACGTGGTCTGGCGTACATCTACCTAGTTAGTTGTAAATTCAGATTTACAAATGGTTTGTAAAAAACACTGAAATTAATCGTAAATATACAAATTACTTGTAGAAAGATTGAAAATAATCGTAAGTCCAAAATGACAATTAATTCGTAATAATAAAATTTAAGCAATTGTTATTTAGATACACGATGACTCTCTGTTCAAATTATTATTACATGGCAGCGACAGTGCTTCAGACTGTGTATGGCAAAAATAACTCCTTTCATTTAAGGGCTTTGTGGCTTTCTTTAAAGGTTTTATGAAAGGTACAGAAAGTTGCCCTGTTGTCCGAAACCCCCGCTAGAGTGCACTATTAGCACTTCACCACGAAACATTCTATTTTGCCAGTTGATATACAATTTGGGTTTTTTAGTTAAGTATTATTATGTCAATCGGTATAGATTGGCTGCCTGTATAATGTGCACAATCTAGTTTTAAAATTGCTGCTGTAACATTAGATTGAACTTGCAACAAAGTTACGACTCGCGGATGAATGCATCCGCCTATTTCGTCGGGCTACTCTGAGTTTCCCATTCCTTCACGAGACTTACATAGCTTTTCGGTGGTGGTCCAGTAGTGATCAATTTTTGTATCTGAATGGTTGTCGCTAACCTTAGACCAATTCGCCAGTCTTGATTAGCCCCAATCATTCAAACTTCCGCCCGCGCTGGCCATGATATTCCGGAGCTTCCTACAAACGTTCACCCCACCCCCCCTCACCTACTGTAGACTGGTTACATGACGCGCTTCCGGGAGCCCCGTAATCCCCCTTGTGTTTTGTCACTTTGTTTTGTAAAATTACAATTTAATTGTATTTTGGTTGTACAAACAGATCGTAAAATTACGACCAATGTCGTATTCTGATTTTACGACCAGCTTGTCAAATTACGATCAGTGTCGTATTCTGATTTTACGAACAGTTCGTAGTACAAAATTAAAAGGGATTAAATCGTTAATTTACAAAATAATTTCTAACAGTGTAAGGCGTACCGACCCCGCACTGCCTGACTCTGTGTTTCATTCAAGTCAGAGCTGCATGTCGAAACGATATCGTTCAGACGTCGCTTCTACCTTTTAACACCGTTTTGTTGTACTTTCGACGTCAATTTCGAGGGGGAAATTTGGTATTTCTCCTGCCATTTAGGTCATTTCTCCAGCCATTTCGCCTATTTCGGATTATTTCAGGGGCATTTCGCGACTATTTCACCGACTATTTCGCGTTTATTTCGGGTATATTCTGGACTATTTCAGAGGAAGGTGTACGAACTATTTAGGAAGTGATTTTTCCCTCGGTCAATTTCACCATTTTGACATCGTGTCGCATCGTGTAGATCACTGTCAAAATTTCCCTTGAAGGACATTTCTGTAATTTTTGAATTTCTGAGATATTCTGTAATTCCAAAATGGAGATTGTAATTTTTTAATTTCAAATTGTAATTCGGGGAACATCTGGTAGGTCCCCTCACTAGAAGGTCCCCCCCAATTATTTTATAATTTTTA